CGTTTACATTTTCCTGTCATCGCAGTCTCTTGCTCAGATCAATCACTCATTCGCTATTTGCAGAATCACCTGCAAAATGTTTTGGGAGATTGTGTGTGTGTGTGTTTTAGTTCAGAGTTCTACAAAGGTCAGACATCGGCATGTTTCTTTTGTCTTTTTTTTTTAAAACAGTATACTGTACAAAGCTTTCGGCGGATGTAGATGACGCCAAACACTTTCTGCTCCACTTCGGTCGAAGAGTTTGAGCAGAAAGTCGACTCCATATTTATTAAAAAACCAAAACAAAAACAATAAAATCAAGAAGAGAGAAATAAAACGCGATTGTGCCTTGGACTAGTCCTCTCATCTGTGGCCGAACAGACAAAAATATGAGATGCAGAATGAACATTCTTGGCTCAGAGGCTGGTGATAAGCTGCATTTGTCCGTCATTGGCAGATTCAGCCTCCAGTGAAAGGCTAGCGCTAATCTGATAGTAGGACATCGCTGGAGTCCCGTCTCCGAGATCTGGTAAACTCTTACAGCATTGTTCCTGGGTTTCACTTTGAGCGGACGAGCATGGGGAATTCTCCTCCTCTCCGATGACGAGATCCGAGTCTTTCAGATTGGGCATGCTTGTGTACAGGGAGTCCCTGTTATTTGGTGACGAATCATCCTCTTTTTTGACCTCTCCCTCATCTTGTTGAGTGTCTCTGCTGATTTTGTGTGGCCTGATGACTTTCTGGGAGGCGTAAATGAGGGAGTGAGTTCGTTGGGGTAAAAGCGGGACCTCAAGGGCCTCCCGGTGGTTCGGGTTAAGAAGTAAAAGCTCCATTGCTGGATGGCAGGAGGACAAAGGCATAGCGGAGGTGTCGGTTTCAGCGTTTTCGCACTCGTTTCTGTCTCCGACACCTTCGTCGATGTCCGCGCAGTTTTCCTGAGGACTCGAATTTCTGTCCGCTTGGCATTTGGAGCTGCTTTGGTTTCTGCGAGGCCGTAAATTGTTGTGAACCAGCTCAGAGATGATCATTTTTTCAAATGCAGCATCGTCCAGGCGTATTTCGCATCCGGTCGGACAGGTGATGGCCGGGTCCTCGTAGTCGTCCTCCCGCAGTGAGTAGCTATTGTTGAAATTGTCGTTCAGAGGGAGGGTGTCCATTGTGCTGACATCACGACTGTTGCTAAGCGAACGCTGACCTGGGAGTCAAAACAAACCAATAATGAATCAGTATCGGGAATAAATTGCTGGAAATAAATGAACAGAACATGTATTGACATGCAATATTATGCTGTTTATAGAGATGCACTGAAATTAAAAGTATGTGCAGAAACCGAAACTGAAAATTCGAAAACTAAAATTGTAATAATAACTAACATATCGAGTGAAGAAGTGAATTTAACTATAAAAACTTTAATAATAATTAACATATTGAATGAAGAAGTGAATTTAAATGAAATGAATGGGTTTCATAGCGCATTGCTTTCTGTGCCCTGTCTGAAAGCTGCTTTCACATCGCACAGTGACTATGGCTAGAAGGAGAGTGAAACCAGCACTGAACATTGCCGGCGAGTGTGGTGCACCATAGTTTTAATGAAAACGGAGGAAAACTAAATTTCAGAGCATCCCTAGTTATTTATACCATTAAAATTATAGTGAAAAGTGAAAATTAAATCAGAACTTGTTGTTATTATAATGTTGCATGCCTTTCTTTCTTTTTCGGAGAACATTTACAATAAAAACAAATGACAACAACAACCAGCTCTTGCTTGTCCCTATAATAATAATAATAATAATAATAATAATAATAATACCAATAAAAAATAATAACAACAATAAAAATAATAACAATAACAATAATAATACAAATAACAACAACAACAACAATGATGATAATAATAATAATATAAAAGCAACAATAATAATAATAATATAATAATATTAATATAATAATAACAATAATATAATATAATAATAATAATAATAATAATAATACAATAATAATAATAATAACAATAATAATAA